CTGGTCATCCCCAAAGCCAACACCTCCTTTGGCCGCCATTCCTTCCAGTTCTCTGCTGCCAATGACTGGAACGAATTGCAAAAATCTCTGAAGCTGGAGACTCTTATCTCCCTCACTAACTTTAAGCATCAGTTGTTAGAGCTCCTTACCGATCACTGCACCTGTACACAGCCCATATGAAATTAGCCCACCCAACTACCTCATCCCCATATTGTTATTTATTTTGCTCATTTGCACCCCAGTATCTCAATTTGCACATCATCTCTTGCACATCTATCATTCCAGTGTTAATACTAATTGTAATTATTTTGCACTATAGCCTATTTATTGCCTTACCTCCATAATTTGCTACATTTGCACACACTCTATATATATTTTCTGTTGTATTTTTGACTTTATGTTTTGTTTTACCCCATATGTAACTCTGTGTTGTTGTTTTTATCGCAATGCTTTGCTTTATCTTGGCCAGGTCGCAGTTGTAAATGAGAACTTGTTCTCAACTGGCTTACCTGGTTAAATAAAGGTGAAATAAAAATAAAAATGTAATATTCACAGAGGTTTACTATGCCAACAGTGGTTCTAGAATGATACATCTGCCATGGTTATTGGACTGTGATATATCTGGACAGTGAAAACCACCACCTGTCATGGAGCTCCACCAGATATCGCTTCACATAACAGGCCTGTATTTATGTGGAAGTAAATCTGCATTGGACCAAAATAAATTGAAGATGATTATTATGCGTCTTTCTTTTTGTTGTTGTCTATTTTAGTTTTATTTGTGCAGAAAAGAAGCAAAACACTTTATCTGGATAGGTCGGATAGATGCTCTACATATGATCATATTATCAACAAACTATCTGTTGATAAGCAACTGCTTGCTAAAGTTAGTGTTAGGTTTAGAGTAAGGGTTAGGGGTAAAGGTTAATGTTAGGGTTAGGGTTAGGGTTAAGATAAGGGTTAAGGTTAGGGCTAAGTTTAGTAGATAGTTAGTTGAAATGTTACTGATAGTCTGTAGAGCAGGGTTCTCCAACCCTCTTCCTGGAGAGCTACCCTCCTGAAAGTGTTCAATGCAACACAAGTTGTAACTAACCTGATACGGCTCATCAACCAGCTAATTATTAGAATCAGATGTGCTAGATTAGGGTTGGAGTGAAAACCTACAGGACAGTAGCGCTCCAGGAACAGGGTTGGAGTGAAAACCTACAGGACAGTAGCGCTCCAGGAACAGGGTTGGAGTGAAAACCTACAGGACAGTAGTGCTCCAGGAACAGGGTTGGAGTGAAAACCTACAGGACAGTAGCGCTCCAGGAACAGGGTTGGAGTGAAAACCTACAGGACAGTAGTGCTCCAGGAACAGGGTTGGAGTGAAAACCTACAGGACAGTAGCGCTCCAGGAACAGGGTTGGAGTGAAAACCTACAGGACAGTAGTGCTCCAGGAACAGGGTTGGAGTGAAAACCTACAGGACAGTAGCGCTCCAGGAACAGGGTTGGAGTGAAAACCTACAGGACAGTAGCGCTCCAGGAACAGGGTTGGAGTGAAAACCTACAGGACAGTAGTGCTCCAGGAACAGGGTTGGAGTGAAAACCTACAGGACAGTAGCGCTCCAGGAACAGGGTTGGAGTGAAAACCTACAGGACAGTAGCGCTCCAGGAACAGGGTTGGAGTGAAAACCTACAGGACAGTAGCTCTCCAGGAACAGGGTTGGAGTGAAAACCTACAGGACAGTAGCTCTCCAGGAACAGGGTTGGAGTGAAAACCTACAGGACAGTAGCACTCTAGGAACAGGGTTGGAGTGAAAACCTACAGGACAGTAGCGCTCCAGGAACAGGGTTGGAATATCTACAGATGGGTTATACCAGGGGTGTCAAACTTATTCAACGGAGGGCCGATTGTCTGCAGGTTTTTGGTTTTTCCTTTCACAACCAGGTGAGGGGAGGTAAGTGACCTTAATTCATCAATCAAGTACAAGGGTGGAGCGAAAACCCACAGACACTCAGTCCTCCGTGGAATGAGTTTGACACGTGGACTATACAAATAGTTATACCGAAGCAAGTACCTCACGTTTATGGTTGCCTGTTGGTACAATGGGAAGATTGTCAGTTGTGATGCAACACTTGAGAACAACTGTTGAATGGCATGACAGTTCATTTAAATTCCCACTTATACAGTGGCTTGCGAAAGTATTCACCCCCATTGGCATTTTTCCAATTTTGTTACCTTACAACCTGGAATTTAAATTTATTTTTGGGGGGTTTGTATAATTTGATTTACACAACATGCCTACCACTTTGAAGATATGTTATTGTATAACAAACAAGAAATAAGACAAAAAAACAGAAAACTTGTACATGCATGACAATTGATGCTGCCACCACCATGCTTCAGTGTGGGGATGGTGTTCTCGGGGTGATGAGAGGTGTTGGGTTTGCGGTAGACATGGCATTTTCCTTGATGGCCAAAAAGCTCAATGCAGCTCCTTCAGGGTTATCTTTGGTCTCTTTGTTGCCTCTCTGATTAATGCCCTCCTTGCCTGGTCCATGAGTTTTGGTGGGCGGCCCTCTCTTGGCAGGTTGGTTGTGATGCCATATTCTTTCCTTTTTTAAATAATGGATTTAATGATGCTCCATGGGATGTTAAACGTTTCTGATAAAAAAATGTATAACCCAACCCTGATCTGTACTTCTCCACAACGTTGTCCCTGACCTGTTTGGAGAGCTCCTTGGTCTTCTTGGTGCCGCTTGCTTGGTGGTGCCCCTTGCTTAGTGGTGGTGCCCCTTGCTTAGTGGTGTTGCAGACTCTGGGACCTTTCAGAACAGGTGTATATATACACTGAGATCATGTGGCACTTAGATTGCACACAGGTGGACTTTATTTAACTAATTATGTGACTTCTGAAGGTAATTGGTTGCATCAGGTCTTATTTAGGGGCTTCATAGCAAAGGGGGTGAATACATATGCACACACCACTTTTTGAAACAAGCTACGTTTTTCATTTCACTTCACCAATTTGGACTATTTTGTGTATGTCCATTACATGAAATCCAAATAAAAATCCATTTAAATTACAGGTTGTAATGCAACAATATAGGAAAAACGCCAAGGGGGATGAATACTTTTGCAAGGCACTGTATATGTCAGCAGGATCAGTTAATTCCCATTTATATATGGCAGGAGGATCAACCGAAGTGCTGTTGATATGTTTGACTGTTTGCATGGAAACGAACAGCACATGTATTTATACACAGTGGGGATTATGACTAAATATTTGCAAGGCTTTTTTAGGTATTGTATCTTGCACTGTCAGTAGGGATGGGAGAGTTCAGAGTGAGATGCAAGACTAATACCGTTCAGCTGTAAAACTGTAAAACAGCAACAATTTGTCCAGACACTCTGCAGGCATGTGTAAGTACTATTTTTCTTTTTTTTTTGTAACAATGGAATTCTCTAGTGCCCTCTTGTGGCATTCTGCAGTGGGTGAAAATAGTAATAGTAACTAACAAAAATTAAAAATTCACAGACCGCTCTTCTCCATCAAATACAAAATTACAGAATAGTTTTGGGTGCTGTAAAAACACTACTACCTGGTTGACTCTCCTCGCGGTTGCTTCCTGATTCCATACCAGCATGTGTGTGAGCAGTAGTTTGTAAACAAACACTAATACACATCCCAGTAGACCAGTAGACAGGTCACACGCCACCCACTGGCCCTTGAGATGAGATTGTGTGTGCATGGCATAGTTTTGTATGGAGATACAAAGCACAGATTGGCCCCCTGCCAGTCCTACTCCCACTCCCACTCCCATTCCAGCTGCCTGGTGTGCAAACCTAAAGGAAGAGAGCGCAGTGCCAGGGCTAGAGGCATAAGACCATGTTGTCATCAGGGTGATGAAGAACAGAAGGGTTGGCACACACTGACGGTCAGCAGCACTGTACCATCTCACGTAAACATTCTCAAAATAACAATTCAATCGTTTCTGCAAGGCATACACTGGCCAGTTGTTTCATTTGGGGTTGTTTGTTTCCAAATGTGCTGTTGTCATTAAAGCCTATGTCTCAAACACATAATTCCCTCACATTACCACAATTTAATTCAATACAATGTTTTTTTTTTTATCTTAAAGGTTTTTATTTGGCGTTTAAATGTGCACAGTATTTTATACAGTACATCCACTGTGTTGTAAATCTCATAGGATAAGATCAATGTCAGTTTTCTCCAGACTTTAGAGCCTTGGACAATAATTGTACATTATGACTTTGTTCTTTCATTCTGCCGCTGATAAATTGCCCTGTTAAGTAAACTCACCAACTGCCAAACAACTGAACAAAACCAGGGTGTGTCCATCTTACTGTTAATATAACTGACTCACTTTGTGTATATTCAAATTTCTAAAAGGAACGCTCTTGTGAATGGAGTTTATTAGGTCAAAATGAACACGCTGATAAGTCCTTTTTTTCTTTCTCATAGCGGTTAGAAAACATTTCTCATGCAGAGTATTAACCTCATCAATGCCAGAGCTTAGATAGAAAACATCAGCAACTAACTCTTCTGGCAAGGTAAGCATTTAGGTAAGCTGTGCACTGTGTGTTGCTGTTGTTTCTCTGTGACTGTAGCAGTAGTGAGATGCCAGTATTAAATAGAGGTTGACTGGGGAATTCTGGGATTTGCAGTCCAAATGTCTAGGTATCTGTCAGAGGAGGCCTGAGCTCTACTGAGCATGTGCCAGAGCCCCTGCCCCCTGGCCGAACCCGAAGCCCTTGGGACCAAAGGATTTGGCATAACAGGCTGTGGATGAAAAGGTGGTATACTTTATATAAAAAAGGTATTTATATACAAAGGGATATACATTTATAACAGATGCTACAGTATTGCATTTTTGCAGGTAAATTAATTACAATTTATATATGGCAGGAGGATCAGTTAATGTATACTTATATATGGCAGGAGGATCAGTTAATTCCCACTTATATCTGGCAGGAGGATCAGTTAATGTATACTTATATATGGCAGGAGGATCAGTTCATTCGCATTTATATATGGCAGGAGGATCAACCGAAGTGCTGTTGATATGTTTGACTGTTTGCATGGAAATGAACAGCAAATGTATTTATACACAGTGGGGATTATGACTAAATATTTGCAAGGCTTTTTTAGGTATTGTATCTTGCACTGTCAGTAGGGATGGGAGAGTTCAGAGTGAGATGCAAGACTAATACCGTTCAGCTGTAAAACTGTAAAACAGCAACAATTTGTCCAGACACTCTGCAGGCATGTGTAAGTACTATTTTTCTTTTTTTTTTGTAACAATGGAATTCTCTAGTGCCCTCTTGTGGCATTCTGCAGTGGGTGAAAATAGTTATAGTAACTAACAAAAATTCTAAATTCACAGACAGCTCTTCTCCATCAAATACAAAATTACAGAATAGTTTTGGGTGCTGTAAAAACACTACTACCTGGTTGACTCTCCTCGCGGTTGCTTCCTGATTCCATACCAGCATGTGTGTGAGCAGTAGTTTGTAAACAAACACTAATACACATCCCAGTAGACCAGTAGACAGGTCACACGCCACCCACTGGCCCTTGAGATGAGATTGTGTGTGCATGGCATAGTTTTGTATGGAGATACAAAGCACAGATTGGCCCCCTGCCAGTCCTACCCCCACTCCCACTCCCATTCCAGCTGCCTGGTGTGCCAACCCAAGGGAGAGGGCAGTGCCAGGGCTAGAGGCATAAGACCATGTTGTCATCAGGGTGATGAAGAACAGAAGGGTTGGCACACACTGACGGTCAGCAGCATTGTACCATCTCACGTAAACATTCTCAAAATAACAATTCAATCGTTTTTGCAAGGCATACACTGGCCAGTTGTTTCATTTGGGGTTGTTTGTTTCCAAATGTGCTGTTGTCATTAAAGCCTGTCTCAAACACATAATTCCCTCACATTACCACAATTTAATTCAATACGTTTTTTTTTTTATCTTAAAGGTTTTTATTTGGCGTTTAAATGTGCACAGTATTTTATACAGTACATCCACTGTGTTGTAAATCTCATAGGATAAGATCAATGCCAGTTTTCTCCAGACTTTAGAGCCTTGGACAATAATTGTACATTATTACTTTTTTCTTTCATTCTGCCGCTGATAAATTGCCCTGTTAAGTAAACTCACCAACTGCCAAACAACTGAACAAAACCAGGGTGTGTCCATCTTACTGTAAATATAACTGACTCACTTTGTGTACATTCAAATTTCTAAAAGGAACGCTCTTGTGAATGGAGTTTATTAGGTCAAAATGAACACGCTGATAAGTCCTTTTTTCTTTCTCATAGCGGTTAGAAAACATTTCTCATGCAGAGTATTAACCTCATCAATGCCAGAGCTTAGATAGAAAACATCAGCAACTAACTCTTCTGGCAAGGTAAGCATTTAGGTAAGCTGTGCACTGTGTGTTGCTATTGAGCCTTTGTGACTGTAGCAGTAGTGAGATGCCAGTATTAAATAGAGGTTGACTGGGGAATCCTGGGATTTGCAGTCCAAATGTCTAGGTATCTGTCAGAGGAGGCCTGAGCTCTACTGAGCATGTGCCAGAGCCCCTGCCCCCTGGCCGAACCCGAAGCCCTTGGGACCAAAGGATTTGGCATAACAGGCTGTGGATGAAAAGGTGGTATACTTTATATAAAGAAGGTATTTATATACAAAGGGATATACATTTATAACAGATGCTACAGTATTGCATTTTCTCTAGTTTATTTACATTGTTTTGATGAATTTATTTAGCTAGGCAATCCACGAGTTGTCTACACATTTGAGAACTCTAAAACAAGTTATAGTAGAAGTTCAGAAAACAGTATACACACACACCTTTATAAATAGACACTACAGTATGTGCAATTTTACACTTTACTCTACAAGTAATTATGTCTTTGCTAATTATTTTACCCATTTGTTTTACATGAATAGAGTATACACACCTTTACAGTAGATTTCTCCATCTTTGTCGGCCACAGTGGTTGACTCCAGCCCCTTGCCACATTTCGCACAGCGGAAGCAGCTCTTGTGCCAGGACTGGAGGAGAGCGATAAGGAGAAGTAAGCGTTGTTCTCAGCACTGGGCTGCACAGATAGGTCAACAATAACTGGTATATGCCAACAGTAACTGGTAAATGCCAACAATAACTGGTATATGCCAACAGTAACTGGTAAATGCCAACAATAACTGGTATATGCCAACAGTAACTGGTAAATGCCAACAATAACTGGTATATGCCAACAGTAACTGGTAAATGCCAACAATAACTGGTATATGCCAACAATAACTGGTATATGCCAACAGTAACTGGTATATGCCAACAGTAACTGGTATATGCCAACAATAACTGGTATATGCCAACAATAACTGGTATTCCTCCTTCACATTGGTATTGAAACACAGACAGGATATCCCCCTGCATCTATTTCAATTGACATTAACTCTACAGCAGCCAAAGATACATGTAGCTATTTAGTACTTTTACATACGGTATACAACGTTTAGTAGAAGCAGGGTTTTGAGACTGCTCATAATCTTAGCATTTCCTCTCAAAACAACCTGATTGCCCAAAACTCTGACTTACATTTCCACCTCCGAGCACCTTCTCGGCAGAGTACACAGCCTTGGCACAGCGCGGGCACACGTCTGAACTGCCAAACTTGGTGGCCAACTTGGAGGCATTGCGGTTGTTGGTGGGGCGGTGGGCTGCTGGCCTGTGGATGACAAGACAGGTTTGTTATGATCACTGTACATATTCAGGCCTTGATGTCTGGAGTACTGCTGTTTTTATGTTTTTTCCCTGGTAGACTTATGTAATTGACCAGATCCACTCACCTGGTTTCCCAGGTCTGATTAGAAGGGAAGGATGAACATCAGCAGTGAAAGCCCTGGGGTGTAATCATTAATCCAAACAGTACTAAAACAAGAGTTTCTATTTGACAAATTCAGGTAGCTACCTTCCAGTCTCATTCCGTTTGCTTTTGTTTAAGAAACGTTTTCCAACAGAATCGACGAAATGAATAAGCCCCTGGTATAGAGAGTATACAATATTCAACTCTCTGAGATTCCTTCCTTACTCTTCAGGTCTGATTCCAAGATGTGCCCCTGTGTCCATGCTCAGGGTGCCTGCTCCTCCGCCAAAGCCATAGCCTTTTGGCCCATACTTCTTGCCGTAGCAGGACTTGCAGTAGATCTCGTCCACATGGCAGGCCACCGTTGTGCTGTCAAGGTTTTTCTTACATGCCACTAAGAGCAGAGTAGAAGGTATATAATTAGAAATATAGCTCAGAGCAGCAATGAACAGGGTTCACACTATGACATAAAGGACACAGGATAACAAAGCAATTACTATCATGTAGGAACTATTTTCCTTTAGGTGCAATCAGTGCATTATGAAAAGATTTGTAAAGTATTTTTAGCATTAGCATATGTGCTAACGTGCATCTATAGGTACAGTACGGCCATATTTGAATGAATATTTGATGAGTCATTTTCATTGATCGTGTCTTAGTGTTAAACATGGCTTTATGTATTTCATAGCTTAACATTTTTATCCACTGTAGCAGGAATTGTTGAACGCAGTGCTCGTTCCACTAGCACTAACTGGAGGTAAAGCTGCAAGCATTGTAGCTTGATACATTTGCCTCTGTCAAGAGTGGCACGCATGATCTTACTAATGGTGAGAATGGGTGGTCTCATCATTGAACGTCAATTTGTCCGACGGTTCTGATATCCGTTCATCATGATCCATTACACCTCATAGCATAACAAACGGTTTGATACTAATATATAAATGTGCCTTTCGTTCTTCAAACATGCATACAACATTGTGTAAAAGTATCGTAAAGTTAAAAATAATAAACACTATTACCCACAATCCTCTGAAAACAGAGCCACGTGGAAAGTTGTTGGAAGAACTTAAAATTCTTAAATTGATAGGAAATATTATGAAAATGGAGTAAGTTAAACCCAATTTTCCTTGTAGTTGTTTTAAAACACAAATAGTTGTTTAGATTATGCATTTATCTTCTATTGAATTCATAATTTTTTTTCAGGATGGTTGAACAAGTAATGTACTAATTATATTCAAGTAAAGATGACAACTACATTTTTTTATGACCAAATAATTATATTTTCAAGTATAATTTACTAACCACCTGAATCATTTTTTACACTGTGTTTGTAAGCTTTTAAATGATATGAAACTCAAGCGTGGATGACTCATGGTATGGTGCGGTGTGTAAAATGGGTCAACTTTGATCACCTTTATCTCCTGAATGTCTTGGCCTTCACTTTCTAATCACTACTTCCATGGGCAAACGTGTATGGAAAGTTTTGGCTAAAACAAAACGGAATGTGTTAGTTTATCATTTGACCTTCTGACGCTGGGGGTGAGAGATGAGCCTAGTTAGCTCACATAAACACTTGACTGAGCCAGATCACGCTGTTTACCTTTTCTCCCATATAAGGGTTACAAGGCCTGTGACACATCCATTTCTCTCTCCAAATAAGGGTACTCTAACGAGAACCGAGAACCTGTGGATGCTCTGCTTCCTCTCTGGGTGCCAAAATACTTCACATTCCATCCTGAGCTCTGAGTGTCAGCTCAGAGTAATGGGTGCATTGGTAGTCACAGTGTGGTTTATGAAAGAACGGGATGACCTCACTCCGATCACTTACTGCACAGAAAGCAGCACTTGTGGAAATATTTCCCTTCACACTGCACTTCCTCAGCGAAGTACACCGTCTTCTGGCAGCAGCCGCAGTTATTTCCTCCTCCCAAAGGCATCCTGCGGAGTCACAGTGGAGAGTTACTTCCTTACATAGAAATAGAGCAGCCGGTTTGTGCTTTCTGCTGTTTGACACTCAATGGGAATAGATCCTTACATAGAAATGAAGTCTACATCTACAGTTCCTGACACGCATTGGATGGGAGGAGACCTACAGACCTCGTGACTTGACCACAAAGAACTGTGTGCAACCCGTTTTAGACTATACAGTACCTAGGGCCCAGAGCTTTTCTGGTCAGGTGATCAAGAACTCTTCAAATGAGAGAACATACAGTATTCACACAACAGAGCCTGGTTATCCTTTGTAGAGACCCTTTCTAAATGTATGGTATCTTAGGAATGTACTCCTCTGAGTTAAAACTGCTGCAGGGCTTGACTACAGTACCTGCAGGCACTTTCTGTTTATTCTCTTTATCACCAAATGCAAAGTTCCTCCTGATGTTTAACAACTGCTAGGGAGGTTCCAGGCCACTCATACAGAACACTCATTGTATCAGCTTAAGAGAGGACAGCTCATAATAATGGCCAGAACGGAGCCAATGGAATGGCACCAAACACACGGTAACCATGGATTAGATGTATTTGATACCTTTGCACCTATTCCGCTCCAGCCATTACTACGAGCCCGTCCTCCCTAATTAAGGTGCCACCAACCTCCTGTGGTTTATATAGAGAACTACAGCTGAATGTAAATAATACATTGCTGTTAGATGAGTGTATTGTGCTCGACTCCATCTTGTTGAAATATGAATCCTATGATGCCACCCACTCAAATCTGGGTAAATCATTTGGGTAAACAGGAAATTCTCTGCATTTCATTTAGTAATTACATCACCATGTTAGTAGTCACTTCATGGCCTCAGACAGTCACTGACCCGGGCAAGCATTAGACAACAGAGATTAATGCAATAGAACCATTCAAATGCTGAAGAATGTACACCACCGTTCAAAAGTTTGGTGTCCCTTAGAAATGACCTTGTTTTTGAAAGAAAAGCTATTTTTTTGCCCATTAAAATAACATCAAATTGATCAGAAATACAGCGTAGACATTGTTAATGTTGTAAATGGCTATTGTAGCTGGAAACGGCTGTTTTTTAATGGAATATCTACATAGGCATACAGAGGCCCATTATCAGCAACCATCAGTCCTGTGTTCCAATGGCACGTTGTGTTTGCTAATCCAAGTTTATCATTTTAAAAGGCTAATTGATCATTAGAAAACCCTTTTGCCATTATGTTAGCACAGCTGAAAACTGTTTGCTGATTAAAGATGCAATAAAACTGGCCTTCTTGAGACTAGTTGAGTATCTGGAGCATCAGCAATTGTGGGTTCGATTACAGGATCAAAATGGCCAGAAACAAAGAACATTCTTCTGAAACTCGTCAGTCTGTACTTGTTCTGAGAAATGAAGGCTATTCCATGCGAGAAATTGCCAAGAAACTGAAGATCTCGTACAACGCTGTGTACTACTTCCTTCACAGAACAGCGCAAACTGGCTCTAACCAGAATAGAAAGAGGAGTGGGAGGCCCCGGTGCACAACTGAGCAAGAGGACAAATACATTAGAGTGTCTAGTTTGAGAAACAGACGCCTTACAGGTCCTCAACTGGCAGCGTCACTAAATAGTACCCGCAAAACACCAGTCTCAACGTCAACAGTGAAGAGGCGACTCTGGGATGCTGACCTTCTAGGCAGAGTTGCAAAGAAAAAGCCATATCTCAGACTGGCCGATAAAATGAAAAGATTAAGATGGGCAAAAGAACACAGACACTGGACTTTTTCTTTGCAACTCTGCCTAGAAGGTCTTCATCCCGGAGTCGCCTCTTCACTGTTGACGTTTAGACTGGTGTTTTGCGGGTACTATTTAATGCGTTTGCCAATTTAGAGTACAATCTGACACCACCTCTATCACAGTAATCTCCTGGTTACCACAATAACAAGAGAAGTTATTGCAACATCAGCTTTCCTGTCTAAAGGGTTGAGAGTGAAACTTTAATACTGAGAAACAGAGATAATTTTGATCAACGCATTGCACGGGAAGTTGGTCTTGCGACATACAGATGTAGGATATTAATTTGAGCCAGTTTGCTACAGCATGATAATCCTGCAGCAATAGGAAATGTGAATTATTATGTGGATTCTAATTAATGGACATTTTTTGTAGGGGTTGATACATTTTTCATTAGGGCAAATCAAGTCTGACATTTTTAAGTGGGAATTACAAAGTGGGAATTACAAGTTAGCATTTCCTGCTGTGCAGAAACATTATCAACAACAATAGTGATCAAATTAAGATCTTACATCTGTATTGTACCTACAGTCCTCTACACTCATCATGTCATATCCTGAGTTCTGAGACTCCTTTCCTGCAGATGCTCAGGAAATAGGACCATTAACTCACCCAGCCAAACCTTTACCGAGTTCTGTGTTTTTACATCTACTGGCCTGGTGTGCTGCTGTCATCCATCATGTTCTAAAACCTGCTATCATCACTCCTCAGATTACATATACACTACCATTTATAGCAGTCACCACACACCCAGTGTATGGAATTATGATCAGGCTAATAAAAAAATAAAACATTTACAATGCTTCCCTACTGACCATAGCGTCTTTACCATGTGTTGGACACAAGTCTTTTTGAGAAAATTCTGTTTTTAGAGCAACAGACGTGATCCACCCTTCAAAACTTTAAACTCACATAGATACAGTTCTCAAAGTTATACTCCTGGCAGAAAAAGTTGGCTTCAGAATACACTCACTGCTCACACACCCAAACTCCAGGCTTTGAAAGTGAAAAAGCAGAAGAATGTGCAGTCTCAGACAGGAATAAAAGTGTTGAATGTGTTCTCTGTGGACTGTAACTGTATTCTATACATCATGAAAGCAGTGGTTACAGTAGCCGGTAGATGTTGAAGGTGGTCCCATCTTACCTGGGTTTTTGTGTGTGTGTGTGTGGCCTGGCCGAGACTCCCTGGTTGTAGAGTGATCTCTGATGAGTGGAGCTCAGACGAGTTCAGGAGAGGCTTCAGTCGAAGAGAGCAGCAGAGAACGACGCCAGGCTGGGACTGAGGGAGGAGGAGTCTGCTGGATACACACGTAGACTAGATGTCGTAGACTAGAAGAGAGACATGGAGAAAGAGAGGATGAAGGAAAAGAGGGAGAGACATGAGAGATTTGTGAGAGAGATGGGGAGAGAGATGCAGAAACAGGGTTAGAGAGAGGCTGAGAGAGAAAGAAAGAGATAGAGAGCCTAAGAGAGAGAGAGAGAGAAGCCCTGTTTATATCTGGTTCTAACATGCGCCCTTTGTCCTGATATTGTCCACATTCTGATTGTGCCCACATTTTTAGACAGGAGTAGATTATTAAAATACACATTGTGGTCTGATTGTGACTTCCTGACCAACTCCAGAGGTAGTCAGGCACACATTGTGTCTGGATATCAATCACGTGTAAACAGACCTGGATGGTCAAACCATTTAAATCATTATACCGGCCTCTAAAATCATTGAGAGGTAGCACCATTGACTTATGGCATCAGTAATAGTCTTAAAATAAATACATTCATATTATTTTGAAAGAACGTCTGTCAAATAATTTGCATACAGGGAGGCATCAGCTAATCTGGTCACAATGTGGACACAGCGGACGGATAAGACACATTTTAATACAATGTTTAGGCGCGTCAAACCTTATACAGTGGGGAAAAAAAGTATTTAGTCAGCCACCAATTGTGCAAGTTCTCCCACTTAAAAAGATGAGAGAGGCCTGTAATTTTCATCATAGGTACACGTCAACTATGACAGACAAATTGAGAAAAGAAAATCCAGAAAATCACATTGTAGGATTTTTAATGAATTTATTTGCAAATTATGGTGGAAAATAAGTATTTGGTCACCTACAAACAAGCAAGATTTCTGGCTCTCACAGACCTGTAACTTCTTCTTTAAGAGGCTCCTCTGTCCTCCACTTGTTACCTGTATTAATGGCACCTGTTTGAACTTGTTATCAGTATAAAAGACACCTGTCCACAACCTCAAACAGTCACACTCCAAACTCCACTATGGCCAAGACCAAAGAGCTGTCAAAGGACACCAGAAACAAAAGTGTAAACCTGCACCAGGCTGGGAAGACTGAATCTGCAATAGGTAAGCAGCTTGGTTTGAAGAAATCAACTGTGGGAGCAATTATTAGGAAATGGAAGACATACAAGACCACTGATAATCTCCCTCGATCTGGGGCTCCACGCAAGATCTCACCCTGTGGGGTCAAAATGATCACAAGAACGGTGAGCAAAAATCCCAGAACCACACGGGGGGACCTAGTGAATGACCTGCAGAGAGCTGGGACCAAAGTAACAAAGCCTACCATCAGTAACACACTACGCCGCCAGGGACTCAAATCCTGCAGTGTTAGACGTGTCCCCCTGCTTAAGCCAGTACATGTCCAGGCCCGTCTGAAGTTTGCTAGAGTGCATCCAGAAGAGGATTGGGAGAATGTCATATGGTCAGATGAAACCAAAATATAACTTTTTGGTAAAAACTCAACTCGTTGTGTTTGGAGGACAAAGAATGCTGAGTTGCATCCAAAGAACACCATACCTACTGTGAAGCATGGGAGTGAAAACATCATACTTTGGGGCTGTTTTTCTGCAAAGGGACCAGGACGACTGATCCGTGTAAAGGAAAGAATGAATGGGGCCATGTATCGTGAGATTTTGAGTGAAAACCTCCTTCCATCAGCAAGGGCATTGAAGATGAAACGTGGCTGGGTCTTTCAGCATGACAATGATCCCAAACACACCGCCCGGGCAACGAAGGAGTGGCTTCGTAAGAAGCATTTCAAGGTCCTGGAGTCTCCAGATCTCAACCCCATAGAAAATCTTTGGAGGGAGTTGAAAGTCCGTGTTGCCCAGCGACAGCCCCAAAACATCACTGCTCTAGAGGAGATCTGCATGGAGGAATGGGCCAAAATACCAGCAACAGTGTGTGAAAACCTTGTGAAGACTTACAGAAAACGTTTGACCTGTGTCATTGCCAACAAAGGGTATATAACAAAGTATTGAGAAACTTTTGTTATTGACCAAATACTTATTTTCCACCATAATTTGCAAATAAATTCATTAAAAATCCTACAATGTGATTTTCTGGATTTTTTTTCCTCATTTTGTCTGTCATAGTTGACGTGTACCTATGATGAAAATTACAGGCCTCTCTCATCTTTTTAAGTGGGAGAACTTGCACAATTGGTGGCTGACTAAATACTTTTTTTCCCCACTGTAGATTAGATCACGAAACTCACGTTAGGGCAAGATGTAAACGAGGCAAGAGAGAGGGAAGGAAAGGGGATGGTCTGATGGAAAGAGGAGATCAGACATAATATACCAGCAGGCCAGTGAAGCCAAGACAGCCTCTCCCTCTAAAATCAGGTTTTACTGCCCTCCTCCTGTGATGGGTAGCGGCACCGTTACATTACCTAACTACCGCATCTTCTTCAAATCCAATAACCTCCAATCAGTCACATCCACAGTAACATTTACTGCTGTAAAACACAGCCAAGATGGTTTCCCCAGGCAGCATGTGGGACTCATGCTGTAAGGACTTCTTACCAAGAGAGAGCTACGATATGCAAAGCAAAACATTGTATTTTATGGCTTGAAGATAAAACAGCTTCTGATGGAGTCTCCAGTACTACATCGGTTTGTGGAGTTCTCCAGTCAGTGAAGTGCTGAGTCCTGGCCACTGCCTTACAAGGTGTTTGTTTTGATGATTGCAGACTGCGGGCATGTTTGCTGAAAGGATTACTCACTTTCTCCAGGGGCGGGGCTATTAGGTATAGCTCAAGTTTCAATGTCTAGGCCTACAACAGCATGAAGATAAATACTGTTACCTAGCCTAAATATGTTTGTTGGGACAAACGTGCTATGAGAGAGACATTTTGAGAGAGCGAGAGAGAAGTTAATTCGATAACTCTGTGAAAAGGGCATGACACAGTAGGAGGCACAATTAAAGGAGGGAAATTGATGTGAAGGTTGAATAAATAAAAGGTGACACAAAATTAAGGTTGGCAAAAATATTTACAAATATGAACAAAAATAATGTCGAAACACTGAAAATCCTAAGCAGGCATTCCTGCCAATATAACTCACAGGTGGTGTCTTCCTGGCTCTGTCCAGCTTCCCCATGAGCAAACTCAGACACCAGCCTGAACAAAAATATAGGCACCTCCCCCATAGGCTGTGTTTAGAAAGGCAGCCCAATTCTGATATTTTTTCCACTCATTGGTCTTTTGAACTGTCACATCAGATCTTTTCACATCAGATCTTTTTCAGAGCTGATCTGAATGGTCAAAGATCGATTAGTGAAAAACAGGTCATAATTGTTGGGCTGCCTGTCTAAACGCAGCCATAGTAGCGCACACCTTTGAGCATACCAGGGGCGGACTGGGGCCAGAAATCTAAAGGCGTTTTCACACATAGTTCTGAGCTATAGTTCAAATCAGAGCTCGATTTGCTAAAACTATGTGTTCATGCAAGTCATTTGGTTATTGGAGAAAAATGCTCACGTTACATTTATCTATGATTATCAAGAAGTATAAACACGCCAAAGTTTGGAAATATCACTCCAAACCAATTTGGTGTGAAAGCCCCCTAACACATCGGCCCATTTTTTTCCTTGGGGCCCTCATTATTAGCCAGATAATTGCAATTGCCCGAAATGCCAGATGGCCAGTCCGCCCCTTGAGCATACAAATGTCAGTGGCCCACAATCTAGTCAGGGGACAAATCTAATTACTGTATGTAAAAAGACACAATGTAAAAAGGCACAATACCTCAATAAAAACAATCACAACCATATGCCTACAGCAGACCATATACCAGGTAAACCCCATTTCAACATACCTGTGAGTACTCATATCAACAATTTATTGGCTAATTACATATGTGGGGCTCAAACCAAACAACACAGGGTTGGGGTGTGCACCCTTGTGACCTCAAATACCAATAGTGTGATTGCGGACCGCAATTCAGGGCGTTGCTGCATGTGGGCATTCCTGCATCTGCATCACTTTTTATAATTCCTGCAAATAAATACAATTAATTAGAATCTATTGAGCAGCTTTAAGTGATACAGTCTACTGTGTGCTCAATCCACCTCTGTTTTCTCTCCATCTGCCCTCTTCTGTCACTTTCTCTGTGTCTTGTCTGTTGCTGTCTCCGGTTCTTATTTGTTACTGTCTCCTTTGTCTATCCTCTTCTGTTATGGTGTCTCTCCATCATATCCTATTCTTCTGTTGCTGTCTCTGTGTCTTGTCTGGTTTGTCTCTCCATCATATCCTATTCTTCTGTTGCTGTCTCTGTGTCTTGTCTGGTTTGTCTCTCCATCATATCCTATTCTTCTGTTGCTGTCTCTGTGTCTTGTCTGGTGTCTCTCTCCATCATATCCTATTCTTCTGTTGCTGTCTCTGTGTCTTGTCTGGTGTCTCTCCATCATCTATTCTTCTGTTGCTGTCTCTGTGTCTTGTCTGGTGTGTCTCTTTAGTTTTGCAATCCAAAACGGTCAAGGGCAATTTGTTTTAGGTCTGTGTCTGGGTCACCTAAATCATCCTCTTCCCTACCAGTTGCCCCTGGCTGCTGCTGTTCTACATTTTACATTTTCGTCATTTAGCAGACGCTCTTATCCAGAGCGACTTACAGTTAGTGAATGCATACATGTTTTGTTTTTTTCATACTGGCCCCCCGTGGGAAACGAACCCACATCCCTGCCGGCCAAACCCTCCCCTACCTTGGACGACACTGGACCAATTGTGCGCCGCCCATGGGTCTCCTGGTCGCGGCCGGCTGCGACAGAGCCTGGACTCGAACCAGGATCTCTAGTGGCGTGCTCCACTGGCCTGTCGTTATCATCTGTCCTCCTTCTTGGCTCATCTGAAAGTTAGATAGGTAGAGGTGCAACATGTCATTAGTTTGTTTTAAAGGGCGACTGCACTTCCTGATTTGGCGTAGTTTTAGATTGGTTCATTAAGAAATGCTAGCGGCCATGATTGAATTCAAACGTGAGTTGGTTTCAGGATGTGGGTGTCTCATGTGGGTGTCTCGTGTGTGTTTGCAGGTGGGAAGAGAGTTAGCCAAATTATTTAGCCAATTAGCTTCAGCCGGTTGGTGTGCGACCTGACTTTGGATAGCCTATCGCTGTATGTAAATGAGACAATATTTTAATGTTGCACACCTTTTAGTTTTCTCATTCAACATTTGTATATGAATTTCTACAACTTATAGTTGGTTTGAGGTTAAGTCATTGAAATTTGGATCTATTGGAATTTTAACATATTGTCCCATGTACATTGTGTAGTTTACCGATGGTCCCTAACTAGCCCCATAGGGATATCCAAAGTCAACCCAAATTTACCAGGCATTAAGATCGGGTCGCATGCAGCTGCACTCGGAATTGGTGATTACTTGTGTGCTGCCAGCTGTGGGCAGGATTGAAACAAACCCAACCTTAATTTACGTTGTGATGCAGTCACGACCACGTCTTACAAAACTCAGTTTTGGACAGTATAATGTATATTATGATAACTGTAAAGAGCAACTGCCCCTAAAAACCAACATCTAATTTAAAACAGCCTATGTGGCATCGATATGAGTCAGAAACATTTATTCTACTGTCAAAATTGACTACAAAGTGTAAATAGGATAATTTTGGAAGGAAAAAAGTGTAAATAGGATAAATAGGATAATTGACTTTGTGGTCCTCTGTAGCTCAATTGGTAGAGCATGGCGCTTGTAACGCCAGGGTAGTGGGTTCGATCCCCGGGACCACCCATACGTAAAAATGTATGCACACATGACTGTAAGTTGCTTTGGATAAAAGCGTCTGCTAAATGCTCCTGAGTGGCGCAGTGGTCTAAGGCACTGCATCACTGTGCCACTAGATCCTGGTTCGAATCCAGGCTCTGTCGCAGCCGGCCGTGACCGGGAGACTCATGGGCGGCGCACAATTGGCCCAGCGTCGTCCAGGGTAGGGGAGGGAATGGCCGGCAGGGATGTAGCTCAGTTGATAGAGCATGGCGTTTGCAACGCCAGGGTTGTGGGTTCGATTCCCATGGGGGGCCAGTATAAAAAAAATATGTATTCACTAACTGTAAGTTGCTCTGGATAAGAGCGTCTGCTAAAAATGTAAATGGCATATTATTATAGTCAATTTTGACAGTAGAATAAATGTTTCTGACTCATATCGATGCCACATAGGCTGTTTTAAATTAGATGTTGGTTTTTAGGGGCAGTTGCTCTTTACAGTTATCATATACTGACATGACCAGGGCAACTCAACTGAAAATACAAATGTAAGTATCTGCACAACAGTACAACAACTCCAAACATGACAGATAAGAAGCTACATAGCTCCTAGGCTATATGAATATAGAGACATGAGCCAAAATAAATTACCTGTAGAATGGAATAGGTTATAAGACCTTTATGATTCATTTCACTTTGTCAGTTCTACCGCCTCAACATTGCTAATTTTAAACAAGGTTAAATATAATGTTGTAATAAAGTTCTGCTTCAGTCCAAAGGGGGGCACTGTGTCACTGTCAGAAGATATGTGCCTCAGTCAGAAAACGTTCTCACATTTCTTCGGTCTGAGCAAGCTAGCCAGCCGGTAGTTAACGAAGAGGCTAGCCAGCCAAGCTAGCTACAGAAACGAAACCCATCAAATACACTCACTGGAAATAAACACTTTTCTAAATATCATGACATAACATCCTCAGCTTACCCATTCATTACATTTACTGTTAAATAACTCTGAAAACCAATAGTTTAAGGATGATGAGCGCTAACGCTAGCTTATTAGCTAGCATTTGCCAACCCTTATGCTGAGGGAGACTAGCTAGTTAGCTACCACCAACTCTGCACAAACCTGTGGCTAACTCTGCTGCTGCTGCATTTTGACTTTCTGGCTGTTCTGCCCTCAACACCTCATTCACTGCTGCTTCAACCTGCTCGATTTTTTTTGCCACTCGGTGCGTGCTCTTTCGGAAGAAGTTCCGAATATCAAGACTGACTGAGTGACGGCGTTTATCTGAGTAATAACGTTGTCATCTAACCGGTGGGGGAGAGGTCAAGGGGACCTGAGCGGTCCGCTTCATTGTGAAATCTCGACCAATTACAGCAGGCACGCGTCACTCTGCCGAGTTCAGTAGATTGTATTGTTTATTTTTGTCATAAAAATTGTTCAGTTAAACATTTGTTTAAAATGCTGCATAGCGCAAGTGTTGTGTGGTTATGGAAACTCATTTCAGACTGAAATGACTGGACCATCAAAAGGTTCGGGGCTGGATCAAAAACTTGTGGAAGCTGAGGCCCCGGAAACCCAGGCCTAATGACACCACTGGTGTATACCATGTCTATCCTGTACATAGGACTAATCCAAATTTAAACTTGAACTTGGGACTTTTTTTTACATGAGGTAAGCAGAGAGGAAGTGGGTCTACAACAAAAATATCTAAAAACCTGTTTTTGGTTTGTCGTTATGGGGTATTGTGTGTAGATTGATGAACAAAAAAAACAATTTAATCAATTTTAGAATAAGGCTGTAACATAACAAAATGTGGAAAAGGTGAAGGGGTCTGAATACTTTCCGAATGCACTGTACGCACTACACACACACACACACACACTCACTCACTCATTCACACACTACACTACACTGACACTCTCACACAAAACCCACACACATTCACATACACTACATACAGTTGAAGTCAGAAGTTTACATACACCTTA